AATTAATAATTTCTTCTTTTTTTTTTTTTTTTTACAGAAGATCAGTTTAGTGTACATTAAGTAAAGATTTCAACAGTTTGCACCCCCATAGAAACACAAAGCGAAATATACTGTTTGAGTACTCATCATAGCATTAAGTCTCAATGTACAACACATTAAGGACAGAGATCCTACATGAGGAATAAGTGCACAGTGACTCCTGTTGTTGACTTTACAAATTGACACTCCTGTTTATGGCATCAGTAATCTCCCTATGCACCACTCATGAGTTTCCAAGGCTATGGAAGCCCCTTGAGTTCTCCGACTCTTATCTTGTTTAGACAAGGTCATAGTCAAAGTGGAGGTTCTCTCCTCCCTTCAGAGAAAGGTACCTCCTTCTTTGAAGACCTGTTCTTTCCACTGGGATCTCACAGTTTTTTGTGTGGTGGTTTTTTTTTTTTTTTTGTTGTTTTGTTTTGTTTTTTTTTTTTTTTTTTTTTTTGACAGACAGAGTGGACAGTGAGAGAGAGACAGAGACAGAGAGAAAGGTCTTCCTTTTGCCGTTGGTTCACCCTCCAATGGCCGCCGCAACTGGCGCACTGCGGCCCGCGCACCACACTGATCCAGGAGCCAGGTGCTTCTCCTGGTCTCCCATGGGGTGCAGGACCCAAGCACTTGGGCCATCCTCCACTGCATTCCCAGGCCACACCAGAGGGGTGCTGTGGAAAGAAGGGCAACATGGACAGATACTGTGATCTGCGGGACTAGAACCCGGTATGCCGGCGCCGCTAGGTGGAGGATTAGCCTAGTGAGCCGCGGCACCAGCCTGCTCTACTTCTGATCCAGCTCTCTGCTATAGCCTGGGAAAGCAGTGGAAGATGGCCCGACTTAGGCCCCTGAATGCATGTGGTAGACTTGGAAGAAGCTCCTGGCTCCTGGCTTCGGATTGGTGCAGCTCTGGTCATTGCGGCCAATTGGGGAGTGACCCAGTGGATGGAAGTGAAAGATAGCCCAAGTCCTTTGGACATTTAAGTTCTTTTCCTTATTTTACAACTACAAATAATGTTACAGTGGATAACCTCGTTCACATGTGCTTTCATATTGGCGATATATCTTCAAATTTCTGTCTTCATCAGAAAGAAGCTTTGGAATTCAGAATTGGTCTTGCCATAGGTAACCTTCAGGAAAGCGCTTTATTTTCTTACTTACCTCCAAATAAATGGGCAGGTTCCAGGAGGTGTTTTACCAACATGTATTCGAGAAGGTGTGCTGCCCGCCCTACCCTGCTCCCAGCGTCTGGCTGGGAAAATCCAGAAGCACGCATTCTGGCTCCTCTTCACTTTTATCATTTAATGCCTTCTGAAAATGCACCTAAGTTGTGTGGTAAAGTGTCTTACTTTGAGCAGCTTGTATTCCTCTTAATTATGGTTTGGGCTTGATTTAGCTTGGAATATGATAATCCATGGTGAAATGCATGTTTCTAGCATATTCCTGTATTTAAAATGCACACTTAAACACACAGACTAAGTTTCCTCATAAAAAGAAGTTAATGGCCGGCGCCGCGGCTCAATAGGCTAATCCTCCGCCTAGTGGCGCCGGCACACCAGATTCTAGTCCCAGTCGGGGTGCTGGATTCTGTCCCGGTTGCCCCTCTTCCAGGCCAGCTCTCTGCTGTGGCCCAGGAGTGCAGTGGAGGGTGGCCTGGGAGTGCAGTGGAGGATGGCCCAAGTGCTTGGGTCCTGCACCCGCATGGGAGACCAGGAGAAGCACCTGGCTCCTGCCATCGGATCAGCGCGGGGCCGCGGCGGCCATTGGAGGATGAACCAATGGCAAAGGAAGACCTTTCTGTCTCTCTCTCTCTCACTGTCCACTCTGCCTGGAAAAAAAAAAAAAAGTTACATTTAGTAAATAGATGAAATTGATTTCAAATGTGTTGTGGAAAAGGATTTACAGTTTTATAGAGGGCCCGCGCTGTGACATAGCAGGTAGAGCCACTGCCTGCAGTGCCAGCCTCCCTTATGGGCACCAGTTTGAGTCCCTGCTGCTCCACTTCCAATTCAGTTCCCTGCTACTGTGCCTGGGAAAGCAGCAGAGGATGGCCCAAGTCTTTAGGCCCCTGTACCCACCTGGGAGACCCAGAAGAAGCTCCCGGCTCCTAGCTTCAACCAGGCCCAGCCCCAGCCATTGCAACCATTTCGAGTGTGAATACAAGTGGATACAAGACCTTTCTCTCTGCCTCTGCCCCTGCCTCTCTGTAACTCTGCCTTTCAAATAAATAAATAAATATTAAAAAAAATTTGAGAAAATTCAGTGGACATATAAGTATGTGATTATAATGGTGACTTTGGGGGATATTATCACCCCCCTCATTGCAGTTGTATTATAAAAATAAAGCGGAGATTTTTTTTTTTGCTAAGAGATTCATAAAAAGCCATCAACAGCTGTGGGTTTGTGGATTTTTTTTTTCTGCATCTGGGTCATTAGAATGTTTTGACTGTTGATTCTTTTAGTTGTTATTTTGACATTCAAATAATATTAGAAGAGATTTGAAGTTTTTTACATTCATCAAATGGGAGCATTTTTTTCAGATGTCAGGAAGCATCATGTGGTGTGGAAAGCAGCATCTCGTGACTCGGGTGACTTGAGCGTCAGCCACGCTCTGCCGCTGACCTGGGCACCCTTGCAGCTTTCAGATTTCAGTTCTGGGGCATGCGTTCAGCCCAGCAGCTAATTTGCCATTTAGAGAGTCTGCATCCCCTCTTGGAGTGCCTCAGTTCCGTGTCTGCCTCCAGCTCCTGACTCCAGCTTCCTGCTAATGCAGAACCCTGGGAAGCAGCAGTGATGGCTCAAGTGATTGGTTCTTACCACCTTTGTAGGAGACCTGGACCGTGGCCCCAGTTTGAGGAATGAGCTGGTACATGAGAGCCCTTTCTGTTTCTTGCTCTTTTTCTTGCCTCTGTGTTTCCCTCTCATCTCTGCCTCTCAAATAAATAATAAGAAAGGAAACCTCAATTTCCATTTTCTCATGTGAAATAGAATTATTTTCCCTTGTTCCCTCATAGGATTGTGATTGTAACAGTTAAATAAGAGTCAGAAGCATAAATACTCGGTAGATTGTAATTACTGTAAGTCTTCTTAATTAGAAGCCATATAACATGAAATAAGTACGCCTGTGAAAATTTAGTATCTTCTAAAACTGTTTTACCTGAGTCTCCTCTTCTATGCTGATAAGAAGCGGAAAAACATCTGCTTTTCCCCTCCTGCATCTAGGTACAAGCTCCTTGTTAAAGCCTGTAATCCTCTATCTTAGCAACACCTGATGGCTTTTACTTCCTCAGGTTGGACCACATTGATCTTTCTCATGAACTTCCCTGGAGGGCAAACAAACCAGTGTTCAGCCTGGAGAATTATGAGTGGGCTGTTTGCACTGGTCTGTTTGGGGTCTGTGAGGGATGAAGAATGTTTCAGGGAACCACGCCAGTTCAGCAGTCAGCTCTGGGAGCTGTGCTCCAGACGGGGCCATCCAGCTTTGACTCTTTCCTCATCCTCTACGTTCTGGAGCTTTCAAACACCGTTACCTTTGAGTTCTCCTTGGTCTTATCTAGTATAGGTCTTCAGTCCCTCTTTCCTGGACTTGCCCCAACCAGAATGAAGTCCAGACTCTCTGGCCTTGTGCACCCTTGAACTCATTTTCCAGCTCCATTATAGTCCTTTTGTTCCTTTGCCCTGTCATCCAGCCACACCGCTATCTCTTGCTAAATGTGTCCCAAGAATGGCATGGTATTAAGTACATAGACTTTGCCTGCTGTCTCTACTGTCTACCAGTGATGTCATCCTGGAAATCTAACTTAACCTGCCGGTGGGAATATTATCTTCCCTACAGGGTCGTCAGGAGGTATAAAGGAAATGACTACGTACAGAACTTAGCACTGTGCCTGCCTGTAGTCAGTGTCATGTAAATACTGCTTGTAGTCATTATTATTAGCTATTGTTACCATTATCTGACATCTGTCAGCATTCTATATATGTCTCAGGTCAGTGTGTTTCTCTAAATTTCTCTAAGCAAGAATAATTTTATCCATTCATTAATTTACCCATCTAGCCATTGTCTAAAAAAATGTTTTAAGACTTGGTAAATATTTATTGACTACTGAGTGTGCTTATGGTCTAACCCTAATCACTGTGAGGAATGCAAAACTGAATTAAATACCTGCTGTCTGTCCTCTAGGAACTCAGAGTCTGGAGCGACAAGGGAAATATAAAATATCCATCCTTGCAGCAGATGCTGATTGAGCAACTGTGGGGGACCCAGGCACTGTATATAGTGACATGTTCTGAGCCTGTGGTGAAAGATTAGAGTTTGGGTACCTTAGGCAAAGCACGGTTGAAGTGTAGCACAGAGATTTTTACAAGCTAGGAGGGTCAGGAAAGGTTATCTTTAGAGGAGACATTCCCATCTTGGCAGGGCCTTGGATGGACTTTGCCTGGCTCTACCTCTCTGAGCAAGTGCTCCTGTATGCCTTGAGCTAGGGCTGTTAGATGGACTATAAGATTTTTGGAATTACAAGCTTCTCCAAGGTAGAGGCAGTGTTCTCTTCATTTTTTAGTTCCCAGTGCTCACTCCAGCTCTTATACAAAGATTGTACTCAGTACAGGATGATGGCAGATTAGGGAGATGTGTCTTCCTATAGGCAGTATATCGTAAATGAAAATTATATTTTGGTATTTTTAGTATTTCTGAAGCAAGTAAACATCCTAGTACAAACTGAAAGTTAGGTTTTTGAAGATGTTCATATTAGTTCTCACTAGGTTAGTCACAGCCATGGTAGTCATGAGGAGTAGTCTACTTCAACTTATGTAGATATTTCTTCCCATACTTCTGGGAAGAAACTCTTGTAGGTTCTTCATTATAGCCTGCCCTGGTCTAGAGTTCTGGGATGTGACCTCATGACTTTGATCATGTGAGAAGCCTTAGTTTTAAAAACTGCCCAACAGTTTTAATTCTGAATTTATCCTTGTAGCAAGGAGCAAGGACCAACCCCAGTGGAGAAAAAGAAGAAAGGAAAAAGGAAAAGTGAAACCACAGTGGAGAGTTTAGAGCTGGATCAGGGCCTGCCGAGCTCGTCCCTGCGGAGTCCTGAGGAGTCCACTGAGTCTGCAGACAGCCAGGTACAGCTGTGACCGGGAGCCTGGTGGAGGTTACGGCTGCCGGACGGGTCTTGCTGACACTGATCCTGGTGTCCCCCATGCCTGTCTTCTATCTAGCGTGCTACCCTTACACACGGACCTGGGCTGGGCTTTTACAGTTTCGGTGGGTGAGCAGACAGAACACAGAGTTTTTCAACTCAGCCTGATCTCTATACTGATAATCTGCCAGCTTTTTCTAGTGTTGTTTGTTTCCTTCTTGGAAAGTATCATAATATTAGGCTGCAGAGGGAGTTGATATGGAAAATGAAGTTGTACGCCAAGCTGGGTACGACTCAGGGAACTTGTTTTGCCAGGTAGGTTAATGTGTTTAGTCTGCATGAGGACATCTCCGAGTCCCAGAAGCTGAAAAGTCAGGTTTATGTTTTTTATTCCAAAAGAATAAGGAAGATTTGGCCAGACATGGAAAAAAGGAGTTCCTCATCTACATCAGTTCCTAAAAACAAGCCCTTGTGGGCCCATGATATTGGAAGGGATTTTTTTCCCTGGCTTGAGGCAGCCTCTCTTGGATGTGAATGCTAATATTTGGAAGTGCTCGGTTTCCTTGGGTGGTCACAGCAGCCTATCTGCACCCTCATCACCCTCATAGGCTTCTTGATGATCTTCACTGTGGGAAGGTGTCAGCTCGTAACATCTTAGTATTAATAAGTAGTAGTGCCTGGTGTCAGAGCAGAAAAGCCCTCACTGCCTATCAGCTGGGCCTGGTGATCACTAGGCTTCCAGATTAGCAGAGGAGTGTAAATTGATGGGGCTTGGCAGGGAGCTGTTTGTAGGACGGTGATGTGTGTTGAAGTGAGGGAGAGGTTTTAAATGGAATCCCTCAGGTAACCTGAAGAAAGGATGGGAACACAGAGATGAGGTTTTGCTTTTGTCTTTTCTTTTTGGGGGATTTAAATAATTGAGAATGAGCTGGCTGGTGACCCTGCTACTTGGATGTGATGAGTACGTAGAGATGAACTGTGTGCTTTTGTGTTTGGGAAACACTAAACTGCACTACTTTATTGATGAATGTTGTCTCTCTAAAAGGTACGAGGCACTTAATTAGAAATGAGTCCATAGATGGTGACTTACAAACTATGTCTTGTCACACTCGAGATGTCTCCCTACATTTCAGCAGTACTATGAGATTCTCAAAGTGAGTCCTAATAAAGTTGGTATTAAATAGGTTTTCAAATTACGTTTTTAGTAGTACATGATAAGTGTGGTGAATTTGAGCTCAACAAAACCTGTCACCATTGTCTTAAAATCTGAGCTTCCTGCTGATGCTGGAAGGAACTTCCAAGACGATGGTGTTCTCCTCCTGTCCTTGTTTTACTGGAGGAGAACTGATTCCAGAAAAGAGGAGAAAGTCACTGCCTCTGGACTCTGAGGCTACACCCTCTTCTTGGTAGAACATGGCAGTTTGAAGAGCAGTCCATTGCTCCTCCCCTCCCTCAGCCAGACCCCTTTTTGAGTGGAGTGAGTCCTTCAGAGAGCTCTCCTTGGCATGCTGTCAAGTTCAGATGAGGATTTTCTTGTTCCAGCTTTTGCCTTTGACTCACAGAGCTGCTGTGACAGGTGTGTTTGCCCTGCAGAAACGACGCTCAGGACGACAAGTGAAGCGCAGAAAATACAATGAGGACCTGGACTTCAAAGTGGTGGATGACGATGGAGAGACAATCGCTGTTCTTGGAGCCGGCCGAACATCTGCACTCTCAGCGTCTACACTGGCTTGGCAGGCAGAGGTATGTCCTTTACATGAAGGTACTGACCATGGTTGAACTGTCCTAGTTGATGGAACTGCTGCTTGATAAAACATACATTAGATCTGTGCCATTCACAACCTTTGAGTGGCTTCCTGCTGGACTTAGAATAAATTTCACAATCTTTGCTGAGCCCGGCAGGACAGCCTATGATCATACACTTTCCCTATTTCACCAAATTCACTTTTTAAAAAAGATTTTTAAAATTTATTTTGAAAGTCACAGTTACAGAGAGGAGGAGTTAGAGAGATCTTCCTTCTACTGGTTCACTCCCCAGATGGCCACAGCCAGAGCTGGTGCTGCCGGAAGCCAAGAGCTTCATCTGGATCTCGTGTGGACAGGAAGTGGAGCAGCTGGGGTATGAACCAGAGCTCATATGAGATGCCAGCATCTCAGGCTGTGGCTTTACCCGCTATGCCACAGCACTGGCCTCACCAAATTCATTTTTTAGATAAGCAACTCTTCCCTGTCATTATACTCCAGCCAGAAGACTTAACATCTTTTAATGAACAGACAGTTCTTTTCCACCTCCAGGTCTTTGCCTGAATTGTTCCTTCTGCTTGGGATGCTCTGAGCCACACATTTTACACGAGGGGTTCACAGTCCTTTGTTTCCACTAAAATGATAACTCCCGAAAGAGGTTTTTCCTGACTTTTTAAGTACATCACTGCCCGTCTGTTTCAACTCCTCGTTTATTTCCTTCACAGCACTTACCACAATTTGTAATCAAGCAGTCAAATTTGAATGTGTCCAGTCTCTGCATTTATTTCTTTTGTCTCTCCCATTAGAATATACAAGTATTAGGAGTTCGGTGAATGCAGTCAGATAAACTAGTAATTACAGTTGAAAGCTGATTTAACAAATGTGTAATGGGAGTCTCCTCCAAAGCCAGGTGCTGGGGTGCAGCAGTATCAGGGCATGGCCCTGCCTCCGAGAAGTTTGTCTAGGTGAAAGGACACATGGCTAATATTGTGACAAACATAGCCCTAGAAGTATGTGGCTACATAGAAGGAGGAGTGGACAAAAATGATTGGATTTCAGAGGATAAGGACCCAGCAGGGACACTTCCACTATGAGCTAAAGCCCCGGCATTGAATGTGGTTTAGTAGTATGGTGTGACGGGCTTGGCTGGGTGCTGAGGAATGATGGGAGATGAGGACTGAGAGGTAGAAAGAGTCACACCTCGCAAGGCCTCGGATACCAGCATAGCTGTTTGGCTTCTATACTATAAGTCGAGCTAGAGGTAGGAGAGATTGATGGGTTCGAGCAGAAGAGCAGGATTGCCATAACTGTGTTTTGGTAATTTCTATCAGCAGCAGTGTGAAGGAGGAAGATGATAGGATTAGTGGAGTGTGAGAAAGGAAAGGGGTTAATGTTGAAAGAGGTCTGTACCAAGGCACTTAGAAGAATAAAAGCAAGAGAAGAAGTGGGGCTGGCACTGTGGTGTAGCCACCGTCTGCAGCACCAGCATCCATATGAGTCCCAGCTGCTCCCCTTCAATCCAGCTCCCTGCCGACGTGCCTGGGCAAGTAGCAAAAGATAGCCTAAGTCCTTGGGCCCCTGCACCCACATGGGAGACCTGGAAGAGGCTCCTGGCTCCTGGTTCTGTATCAGCCCAGCCCTACAGCCATCTATGGATTGAACCAGCGGGTGGAAGATTTCTCTGTCCCTCTGTCTCTCTGTATGTTTCCCCCTCCCTTTCTCTGTAGCTCTGCCTTTCAAATAAATCTTAAAAAAGAAAAAAAAAATCTGAAACAATAGGATGGAGAAACAAGCTTTAAAAAAAAGAGAGAAGCAGCAAGCTGTGCATATAGGAGAGGCATTGTTACCAGCAGCACATTCTGGGACTCAGGCTGTCTGTTGTTACGGAGTCCCTGTTGCTGACTTGGCAGGATTCACACTGTGTGTGAGGAGTGGCAGTAGCACAAATTCCTGGCCTTCCTCCAGGACACCAGTGTGTCTTACAGAAGCTAATAGTGCTTTATCTTCCTCAGCCACCTTGCCTCCAACTTCATTTAATTTCACATATCCTTTTGCTCTGTCTTTACATGGGAAATCACAAGGATTGTAACCATTATGAAATTAAGGCACAGAACGATCCAGGTCAGAGTTATATGCCAGCAGTTAATCAGCGATTCGCATGTGAGAGTTGATTTATGTCTCTGGTTCTGGTAAGGGTTTCCCAACTAATGAATATAATACCTAGTAAGGATAATGATTTGATGTATTGTCATTGCATTACTTTTCAAGCAATTAGTTAAAAATAGCTTTTGCAAGATTGACCAGAGTTGCTAGGATTGTGTTGCTTTATTGTGGGTTTTCCCTGGAGATTTTATGGTTGGTTTGGTAGTTACAGTATTATAAAGAATTTCATTTTCTCCTAGTAGCCATTTAACCTATGCCATTAACCACATTTCGAATTTTGTTGCAATTTCTTACCCAATGGGCAGCAATAGTTGATCTTACAGAAATAATTCAGGAAATGCTATGTATCTTAGCAAGGTTCTTTTCTTCCTATAAAGGTACAGCAAAAAGAGGGTTTATATAAGGAGAAACAGAATATAAAATTAAATTTACATTAATTATATCTCAAAAAGTGTTACTGAATTTATCAGACAAGAAAGAGGCCTGACATGGTTTGCCTTTGATGTTTGGAGAGGTAGCCCTGTGGATCTGGCCTCTGAGCCAAAGGCCTGGCCTTGCTTGCAGCCAGGCCATACGCCTGTAAGGGCACTGGTGAGATCAGCTTATCGAGTATTTTTCAGACTCAGTGCCCTGTAGAACCCTGGCTGCTACAGAACCAAAGCAGCTCTGCTTGCATCTGTTTTGAAAGGTGAGGTTTCAACAAAGATTTCCCAGGCTAACTCAAAGCTTGAAAGCCATGGATCTCATCCAGGATCCCAAGCAATCCTTGGTGCATCTGGTAACGCAGAAATCATTGAGGGAGTAGAGACTTTTTCTTAGGTTCTTTTCCCAGGCCCTCTGAGTGACCTTCTACCCACCTGCTGGCTTCACCTATGGCAGAGAAGGAGGTGGAGTCAGCACCAGAAAAGTCCCCCTGCGCTCTCTTGGCAGATCTGTACAGCTGCTTCTGAGCATGCTCAGCCCAGTTCTGGGGCAGCGGGCCCTGTCCCTCGCCCAGCACTGGTTTCATGGGCTCGAGCTGATAAAACATCTCCACGCATGAGTGATTCCAGCTCAAGGCTGGCATTTTCTCACAGCCCTGCTTTGGAATCCAGGGGACCGTGTGGAGTCTCCGACCTGGCCATGGGATCCAGGGGCTAGAAATAAGCTTCTGTCCCAACTGACTCAATATTCTTACTCTTGGTCTTACTGATGATACAGGTGCCTGGAACAGAAACAGTTTCACATTCCGAGGTCCATTTATAACATATAGACTTCTACAAGGCTCTTAGCTTTGAATTGCACAATTTGAGTGATTTCGCCTTTTGCAATAAAAGGGCTTTGATTTGAATAAGGCTTTGGCTCATGGTCTCTCCTGTGCCTAGCCCTGTGTTTTTGTGCCTTTTCCTGTGTTTGACAGGGAGGGAGCTCCCTTCTCCCTCTGAGCTGGGGGTAAGTGCCCCTCATCTGTGCTCCATAGCACTCTGTTTAATTCTGCTGTCTTTCATTGCCCTCTGAACACCTGCCAATTCTTTTGTTTCCTTCCTGTACACCATGAGCTACTTTAGGGTAGGATTTGTATCTTTTCTTCTTCTTTGTCTCTCTCAGGAGTGAAAGAGTTTGAAAAGAGTAAAATTTTCCTTAATTCCCAAGAACCATTCAGATGAAACCCCACGTAGGGCACTGTCCATCTTCTGTTATTACATTTGTTATATTTATTATTACCAGAGTCAAGTCAGCTGGAACCACGACCCCTTGTTCACAGCGTGTAACTTCTGGTTTTCAAGGCCTCTGCTATCTGTTTTGATTATCATTCTTGGTGGTTCCCTTAATCAGGTTGTAAGTAAATGCAAAACAGATACCACTTTTTAATTTTTCACAATTTTTACTTATCATGGGCATAACTTTATGTTAGGTAGTGGCTAATAGTTGTGCTTATTATATATTATTTAGTGAATAAATAAATGAATATGTTACGTTCATGATATAAACAAGTTTCTTCTTTTTTTTTTAACTCCTAGATTAGGAAGCAAAAGCTGTTTTTCTCTCCCTGGCTCTTGTTTTCTTCATTCCCTTGTGCTGGTGTGTTCTTCCTACTCTTTTTTTTTCCCTCTACATGGGCCCTTGTACTTGCAGGCACGTTTTCCCAGGATTCCTGCTGCCACTGGCATTGCTGTAGCTTTGCATCAGCCGCCTGGGTCTGGCCCTTCCTCTCTGGCTCTGTCCCCTCAGCCTGGGTGGACGGTTTCTGGAGTCTTCCTACCTCACCATTGCGTACGAGCACCCTCCACCCTCCTCCAGGCTCTGTTTCTCTTCAGGCGGTTTCCAGTATTTGCTTCTCTTGGTTTCTGCTGCCACCCCCTGAGCTGAGGACCCTATTCAGATTGCTGTAGCTCTCACCTCTGTAGTTCCCCTGCTGCGAGTCTCTGTCCTCTCGTGTCTGACAGCAGACGAACTTCCCCAGAACACCAGAGGAATTGCTGATGTTTATCAGACTCGTGCTCCAGAATCTGAGGTAGTTACTTCTTAGCTCCTGTATTAGATCAAAACTCCTGTCTGTTTTTTTCCTTCAGTAGTGCCCACACACTACCTGATTTCTCTCAGGCGTCAGGTTGTTTTCTGTTCTAGACATACTTCCCACTTGATTGTTCCTTCTTCCTTTGAGTTCTTTTGTTCTTGCTTTGTGCTTTGCTGCCTTCCTTTTTGAGGCACCATTCTTGAGGGCCTTCTGAAACCTCCCCTGTTCTGTAAAATCTAAGCTACTTCTGCTTTCTCAGCTCCCACTGGACTTTGTTACTGTCACAACAATTAACATTTCCCCGGGCACACTTATAAGACAAATATGTTCTGTTTGTCTT